TTACCGTTTTAGATCTATCAAAAAGAAATAAGAAATAATAATTAGGGTAATTTACGAAAATCCCCTCAGGTAAAGTCTAATTATAAAATCTCCCTCACATATTGGGTGTTACGAAAAGAAACTCTTATGTTTGTCACCATTTTACAATTAGTTCCTTACCCCTGAAAAGTGTCAATTTTACCCATAGGGGTTATTTGTAATAAAAACACAGACGCTAATTGTAATATTTCATTAATTATAAAATTGATAATTAATTTATCACAAATAAATTGATAAAATTGTATAATTACCCATAAGTTTCAAAACACTTCGAAAATCTTATTTTTACATATTTATTAACAACTTAAATTTTATAATAATAAATTAAACAAAATTTTTATATAATAATATTTGATAAATATAAGAAACTTGTTTAAAATTTAATTAATTAAATAAATTATTTATATTATATAATAATTTAATAAAAATTATTATTATCATCATAAAAGAAAATTCAAAAAATTATATAGTACTTTTAAATTTTCTCGTTATATTTAAAAATATTAAATTTATTAATAAAATATAAAAAGTAACATGTTAATAAATTCTTATATCTACAAAATACTAATAATAAAATTTTGTTTAATTTATTATTATAAAATTCAGTTGTTAATAAATATTTAAAATAAGATTTTTTAAAATATTTTTGAAACTTATGGGCAATTATACAATTTTCAATATTTTGTGGTAAATATATAATTATCAATTTTACAAGTAATGAGATATTACAGTTATCACCCTACTTTTAATTTATTTTCAAGATATTACAAGTATTACATATAAACTCATAGGAGCAAACTTGAAACTTTTCGGGGATAAATGACTAATTGTAAGATGATGACAAAAAAAAGAGTTTTCCGTAATACTCAATATGTGAGGGAAATTTTTTTAATAGGCTTTAGTTCACACTACAACAAAAATGATCATTGGTGGCATCATGCTTGATGGCATTTTGAAGAAAATGTCACAAAAAATGAATATAGTTACATTTTTTAAATATGTCAAGAATTATAAATGTTAATCATACTGTTTAGTGACATTTTTATATTATTATGACATTTTATAATGTTACCTCTTGTTATGATAGTGACATTTCACTTTTAGCCACACCGCTACAAGTGGCAGTTTGAAAAATGTCCTTATATATAAAATGTCACTAGCAAAATGCCACTTGTAGCGGTGTGGCTAAATGTATCAATGTCACAATTGTAGTTAAAAATAACATTATAAAATATCACTATAGTATAAAAATGTCACTAATCAGTCAAATTAACATTTATAGTTTGTGACATTTTTCAAAAGTATGACTATATTAATATTTTGTGACATTTTCTTCAAAATGACATCAAGCATGATGCCACCAAAAATCATTTTTGTTGTAGTGTCAGGGGTATACGTATTTTACCCTAATAAATATATACAAGAAGTGGGTGTGGAATCATTTCTTCTTGTTCTTATAAAACATACGAGACAATTATGCTAAAAAAAAACTTAAGAGAAATATTGGTTGGCCACTTGAACTATGTCCTCCTCTAATGATAAAATCTTTTTCAATCGGAATAGCTTCATTGTTTGCATACCCAAAAATTCCTCATCAGATTCTTTGAAAAAAGAAATAAGTGAAGTCAAATTTGTGAAATGTATTCTAAAACTCTAATTAATAAAAATCATCTCTGCTAGGAAATTCTTAAATATCAAAGAGGCAAATGTAAAACAAACCATACACACGAATATGGCAAATAACATTATTTATTCGGTATGTAGAGTAGGTATTATTATTATTATTACGATGATGATGCAAATGTAAGAAGAATTTAACTTGAAAAAACAAAAAATGTGGCCATATAGACTAGCCAAAAATGATAACTAGCAAGAGGATAGGGGAAAGACCAGCTCTGATTTGATCAATAACACGGATATAAGCACTACAACAAAAATGATCTTTGCTAGCATCAATCTTGATGGCATTTTGAAGAAAATGGGAGAAAAAATGAATACAGTTACATTTTTTAAAAATGTCAGGAATTATAAATGTTAATCATACTGTTTAGTGACATTTTTATATTATTATGGCATTTTATAATGTTACCTCTTGTTATGATAGTGACATTTAACTTTAGCCACACCGCTACAAGTGGCAGTTTGAAAAATGTCATTACATATAAAATGTCATTAGCAAAGTGCCACCTGTAGCGGTGTGGCTAAATGTATCAATGTCACAATTGTAGTTAAAAATAACATTATAAAATATCACTATAGTATAAAAATGTCACTAATCAGTACAATTAACATTTATAGTTTGTGACATTTTTAAAAAAAATGACTATATTATTATTTTGTGACATTTTCTTTAAAATGTCATCAAGCATGGTGCCACCATAGATCATATTTGTTGTAGTGAAGGAAAAACAAAACAGATATACAAGTTCAAATTGAATAAGACTATTGTCAACCATGTATTGTTTAAAATAGTTTGATTCAGTTTGAGCTTATGTAAACTGGGTCAAATCTAATTTGAAAATGAGTTTATAAAATCAGGTTTTGGTCCAAGTCATTGTAAAAACCTATTTGACTTATATATAAAGTTATTGATTTAATACATGTCACATACATTTAACACTTATAAAATTACTGATTCGACATCTAATCATATTTTTCCTCTCAAATCCTAACAATCAAACTCCAATACAAATCATATCTCAAAATTTCAAGCTCACATATTATTATTTTACCATCTTAATATTTCATTGAAATCATTATCTAAGTCGACTTTCAAAAGTTTCGCTCAAATATTTTCCATGATAGCCCATAATGTTTTGAGTTTAAATCCACACATCAAATGTCAAAAAAAAAAAAAAAAAAGAAAGAAATTTTTGTGTAGTTAATATTCTAATTGTTAGTTGTATATTTCCTTTATAATTTCTATAATCCGTTGTACTTCCTCCGTGCCAATTTTTTTCTCTATTGCTACAATTGATCAATCAACTTGAATAATAAATAATTTAATTAGTATATTTCACTAATAAGTTGATAGTATCGTATTACACTATATATATTAATATTTAAAAGTAAATGCGAATAATTTAGCATGATAAGTTATTTAAAAGATTGAAAAGTTTAACCGGGTACCGTAGCTAATGAAGTATAAATAATGAGATGGATAGAGTAATTTGCTAGCCAGCTAGTGTAAATGTTGAAATTATAACACAATGATGTAAATTTACTGTTTAGCTAAAAATAATTAAATAAGACCTATTAATCAGCAAATCTTGGGTTAGTCGGGAAATTTTCCTAGGTTGAGCAAAATAAGAGCCCATATCTTGGCCCAGTGGGCTATGCGTATGAAGTGCAATATGCAATTATTACTTATTTATGTGGAGTACTGCGGGAGGACTAAACAGTCATTTCAATGTTGAAAAGTAGGGGTATGAATGGACTTTCACCGACCAAACATCTCCTCAAAACCCTAGCCCTAATTCTTTAAATACAACACGCTCATTACACTGCTTCACTCTCTCACAACCCCTCATCGCTTCTTCTAACAGAGGTACGCTTCTGCCGCTCTCTGGATATTTCTGCATTTTTGTTAATCTGTTCTAGTTTTTCTATTACTTTCATCTGTTGTAATTCATTCTGATTTGTCTTCGTTAAGTTTTATGCGAATCAGAATTCTCTTAGATTGTTTTGTTTTGTGATGTGGATTTAAATTAATTTGAGCTATCTATCTATTGTGAATTCATCTAGATCTGTTCAATTTTGGAGTAAATTTAATCATGAATGCATCTAGATTTCTATCGAGTTCTTTTTATGTTATATATAAAAGGTGTTAATTGAGTGCTGTATTTTTACTATAGTTTGCTAATATTAATGATTTTTAAGATTTTGTTAATCTATGTTTTAATGTTATCTTCTTAAGGTACATGAACAAATCTAGAATTTAAAGTTTGAATTTGTTATTAATTCTATGCTAAACAAGACTTTATAGTTTTGTTTATCTGTTTGTGCAAATCTATCAAGTCAGATGTATAATTGCAATTTTATATATGAATGCATGTCATACTCAATTGTATTTGTATATTTAAATATTTTTAATTGATTTTTACTTTGCTGCTAAATTGTTGTAACTTACAGCTTCTTAAATATTTTTTTGTATTTTGATGCTAGATGTATTGCTCATTTTTGTTGCTGATTGAAATTAATCTGTTTTATAATTTGAATTATTGAAACCTTAATTGTTTCACGTTTTATGCTCAATTTTCTCTTTATTTATGCAGTATAACTTAATCTTAAAAGCAAGAAGCCATGGGTAAAGAAAAGTTTCACATCAACATTGTGGTGATAGGCCATGTTGACAGTGGGAAGTCAACAACCACTGGACATCTTATCTACAAGCTTGGAGGTATTGACAAGCGTGTCATTGAGAGGTTTGAGAAGGAAGCAGCTGAAATGAACAAACGTTCATTCAAATATGCATGGGTGCTTGACAAGCTTAAGGCTGAGCGTGAGCGTGGTATTACCATTGATATTGCCCTGTGGAAGTTTGAGACCACCAAGTACTACTGCACTGTCATTGATGCTCCTGGACATCGTGACTTCATTAAAAACATGATTACTGGAACTTCACAGGCTGACTGTGCTGTACTCATCATTGATTCCACCACTGGTGGTTTTGAGGCTGGTATCTCTAAAGATGGCCAGACCCGTGAGCATGCCCTCCTGGCTTTCACTCTTGGAGTGAAACAAATGATTTGCTGTTGTAACAAGGTATACTTTTTTTTCCATGAGAACATATTTCATTATAGTTTATTTATGTGATTTTTAAGTGATTAATTCAGCCTGTATGTCTATTTGTATGAAAGCGATTCCTCTAGATTTACCTATCCTCTGTTGATTTTAAGGATGTTTTGGTAAATTGAGTAGGGGTTATCCTTCATCATGGACTGTCAGTTAATCTGTATATGGGGATTGTAGTTCAAATGGTAAGAGCCCATCCTTCTATGGTTGAAAGCTACGGGTTCGAACCCCGTCAATCCCTATAATTATTGAAGAGAGTTATGATCATGTTTAACAGATCATATTTTTTAATATTTTTTTTCGAACAATTTACAATATAATTTGCTCAACTACTTGACAATAAGAAATTCCTATATTTACATAGTTTTGTGTTCATTGTTTTAGATGGATGCTACCACACCCAAGTACTCCAAGTCAAGATACGATGAAATCGTCAAGGAAGTCTCTTCATACTTGAAGAAGGTTGGGTACAACCCCGACAAAATTCCATTTGTTCCGATATCTGGTTTTGAGGGTGACAATATGATTGAGAGGTCTACCAACCTTGACTGGTACAAGGGACCAACCCTCCTTGAGGCTCTTGACCAGATTTCTGAGCCCAAGAGACCCTCAGACAAGCCCCTCCGTCTCCCACTTCAGGATGTCTACAAGATCGGTGGTATTGGTACTGTGCCAGTGGGAAGAGTTGAAACTGGTGTCATCAAGCCTGGTATGGTTGTTACCTTCGGTCCAACTGGTTTGACAACTGAGGTTAAGTCTGTCGAGATGCACCACGAGGCCCTTCTAGAGGCTCTCCCCGGTGACAATGTTGGGTTCAACGTGAAGAATGTTGCTGTTAAGGATCTGAAGCGTGGTTATGTTGCATCCAACTCAAAGGATGACCCTGCCAAGGGAGCTGCCAATTTCACATCACAGGTCATTATCATGAACCACCCTGGACAGATTGGTAATGGCTATGCCCCAGTTCTTGATTGTCACACTTCCCACATTGCTGTCAAATTTGCTGAGATATTGACCAAGATTGACAGACGATCTGGTAAGGAGATTGAGAAGGAGCCCAAGTTTTTGAAGAATGGTGATGCTGGTATGGTTAAGATGATTCCGACCAAGCCTATGGTTGTTGAGACTTTCTCAGAGTACCCACCATTGGGACGATTTGCCGTGAGGGACATGCGTCAGACTGTTGCTGTTGGTGTCATCAAGAGTGTTGACAAGAAGGACCCATCTGGAGCCAAGGTCACCAAGGCAGCAGCCAAGAAGGGTGCTAAATAAGGAGTTGGTTGTTATACAGTTTTGAGTCATTTGTCGAGTATTTGAGTATTTGTTGTCGTAGTAGGTACTATTATTTTTGAGTTTTTAGTTTTCAATATGCGGATTTTGTCATTCTGAATTGTTATGGTTTTTGACAATCTATGGTTTATTTAGTTATATGTTTTTTTGTCATTGGGTTTTCTTATTGATTTAGATCTAAAGGTTACATAATATCTTTTTAGTTTGGTTAAATCTGATTCAGTTATTGTGGTTTTTCTTGAATTATTGATTTTATCTAGTAGTATTGAAGGTTCTCTTCGACCTGGTTTTATTAAGAATTTTCTGTTCTAGTTTCACCCTTTTTTTTTCTTTTGAAATATGATCTTATTTTTTGAGATTTTTAGGTCAACTTCGTCCTTTTAGTTTATATTAGAAGTTCTAAGCAGCAAAAATTGTAATTTTATAGAACATTGAACTTGTTTGTGTCTATTTGCTCTTTGGTTTTTGTAGGTAGCTATGATCATCGTGTTATTACCTAAATAAGGAAAACAAAGTTCTACCATCAAGTCATGTATGGCCCAGTTTTAATTAATGTTCGTATGGGCTAGGACTACACTTTTGGACTAGTTGATCCTGGGTCCAACAAGAATAAGTTTTTGGGTTGACTATAATTGGGCTCAAATCAAGGTTGGCAAACTCAATATTAGGCTTGGTCGAACTCGGACCGATTAATGGTCAACCCGAATTTGGAAAACTGAAACCGAATTTGTGTCCGTCGGATATCCGATATTCGAGTGCAAAATGCATTTCATATTCTACTTCCTCTTAGTTGCGGTAAATTTGACAGATTTTAGTCTATAGATTGATTAGTGGTTCAAAATCTCAATGGTAGAAAAGATGATACGTTTAAATTATAAGAACATCATGTAGAGAAACCAAACATGAAGAAAGAAAAAATAAATGGAAATGAAGAATCAAACAAAATGTGGACTGCGAAGAACCATAGGGAGAGAAGCGTCTGCTGGTGCTTCTGGAATGGAGAATGGAGAAGTTAATAGGGTTTCATTATGACTTAAAATAAAAGAGTTTATTCTTAAGAAAAGCCCAATAAGTTGAGTAAAAGGTTCCACCTATTATAATAGATAGAAAGGCCCAATTTATTTGTATCACTAATCTTCTTCCTCTTTTGTTGATCGTTATCATTAACTTCAAATATTTTTTGACAACAATTTCTAATGTTTTTATTTAATTTATCAATTTAATAATTTGTAAATAATTTAATACTCATATAAATACGGATTTTCAATGGATCGAATTGTAACGCCCCAAAAATTTCGGACACTTTTGATTAGATTTTTAACCCAATTTCATGTGCCACGTTTTATTCTTGAAGTTAAGCATTAATTTGAACTAAAATATGCAATTTAATTAAATCTTGTGATCTTTTGAACTTTGAAATAATCCAAAATATAAAAGTTACTTTAAAATTAGATTAAGACCTTTTTGAAAATTTTCGGGTTTGGATGCACAAAAATTTTATTTTAAAGGGTAAATGTAAGTTTTTAAAACTTTAGGGGGCAAAGTGCAAATTCGCCCCCTGACTCTTGTAGGCTGCTAAAAGCAATAATTTCTCTCCTAGGATAGCCTAAGGGCTGCTAAAGCATGGTCTTGGGTGGAGGAACCCAATGTATACATGCATTGATGGAATTAAAAGATTAAGCATAATATCTCTTTCCCTTCCCAGTGTGTATATACTTGTCATATACACTTAAGATCAGATTTTTATCCTCTCAATTATCTCATTTACATACACATTATATAGTATAAAGAAAATAAGAAACAGAAAAGAGACAACACACTAGAAAGATACAATTTTCGGATTACACAACCCAGTCTCGGTTTTTCGACCATTCCGTCTTCGTCCACCGTTGGATCATACCCAAATTTTGCGTGAAGGTCCTACACACATGGGGCTACATATTGATAGTTAGGATCGTCGTTTTCATCTCTCAAAGTTAACCGGCAGACGTTTGAAGTTGGTGAAAAATAAGGATTTGAGGGCTTTTGTTATGAACCGGAGCCGCCACCACTACCTTCGGAGGTCTGGAAATGAAGAGAGCTTCATCCCCTTCGTTGCTTTGGGTAAAGATTTGCCTATGCTTGTGTTCTTTAATCTTTGTGATTTTACTTTCTTCTCTTTAAAGTATATATTGAAGAAGTTTAATTTATCCTTGTAGCTTTTGTGATAAGTTGTTGAGTTTATATTTAATATTAGATATTTAACGACTTTGATGTGGTTTTGTTTAGATATTGCTTATATGTTTGGATCTTAATTTATTTTTGTAAGAAAGTTAATGTTTTTAATTTTCGAAACTTTAAGGGGGTATTTTTGAAAGGTTTTAAAAGTTTAAGGGTTAGGGTTGCGATTTTTTTTTGGGAGTAAAAGTGGACCGAAAATCTCTATTTTGTTTGATATTTGGTTTGAGTTTACTTAAAAATTATTAGTTTTGAAGTTGCTCCGAGTTTATTTGCAAAAAGGGAGTTTTTGAAACTTTTAGGGTTATTTTTGTAAATCTGAAAATAAGGGGGCAAAGGTACTGTTTTGTCGCTTTTTTACATAGTTACTTTTACAAACTTTTGATTAATTGATTTGAAGTAGTGCTTAGGTCACTTGTGTTTTAAAATTGAAAATTTGTAAAATTTTCCGAAGAAAATTTATAATTAAAGAACTTTTTGTTTCTCATAGTTAGTTTGTGAAAAGTTATTAAAACTTATTTGTAGTCTCAGCTTTATATTGAAAATATGCTTGATTATTTTTAAATATTGCTTAGATGCTTGGATCTTGAATTATTTTTCAAGAAAGTTGATTTTATTAAGTTTTTGAAAACTATGAGGGTATTTTTGAAAAGTTTTAAACTTGTGGGATTTTTAAAGATTTGATTTTTGAAGTAACAAGATACTTAATATTCTGTTTTTATTTGATTTTCGATATGGTTTTAGTTAAAATCCTTTGATTTAAAGTTTGTTCCAAATTTTCGCAAAAAATGGATGTTTTTAAAAGTTTAGGGGCTGTTTTGTAAATATGAAAAATGAAGGGAAAAATTTGCTGTTTTGGCGCTGTTTATGTAATTAGTATTTTGAGTTTTGAAAACAATTACTCTTAAGTGGAGTTGATGTCGTAAGTTCCAAGCACTTTTGTGTGATGTGTTAGTTTAGCAAATCCTTTGTAGGATTTTCATTAGTTATGTTTAAGTAAGGTTGTTAGATAAATTCTAAGTCGTATACGTACTTGCTCAGGTTTCGGATACGCTTCATTTGTGGAGTTTAGTCGCTATGCTAAGCGACAAAGGTGAGCGTTGTGTGTTGAATTTGTATGTCGGTCCGATGTGCTAGTAGATCGAGTCAAACATTTACTTATGCTCTTAATAATCAAAGCATGTGTTATATTATAATTTCTATTGCATGTTGTTACAAAGAGATTGGACTTGTTACGTCGACATTACTCGCATGAAATCCTTAGTATATCAACATGATAATCCAATGCATGCTACATCCAAATCTACTAGTTGCGAATATATTTTACTAAATTATCATGATACCCAAAATTTGCATTTGATAAGTTGTTAAATGTTGATAATATGTTAAATATGTTTGATATGTTATGTTTCCGTCTGTTTCCGATTTTGTGTTTCCGTTTGTTTTCGATTTTGTGTGGGCCCCTTTTGATTGGTATATGGACCCGATGCCAGCCTGGACGGCAAGGGCCGGCGGGATTGTCACGGTTACCCATAGGCCTGGCCTTACAATTCAAGTGGGGAGGAACACTTGGGGAGTAAGGACGAACTTAGGCAAAGAATGTCGATGCATATTAGATAGTAAGGTCGCTCCTTACTTGGTGTGTTTGGATGGACATCAGACTCAGACTGAGACTGAGGATGGAGGGTAAGTGGAGGACGGCATCAGCAATTCTTGGTTATGTGAATTCCGTGT